AAGGAAAAAAATTAAAAAATTAAAAAAAAAAAAAAGAAGAAATCTATTAACAGAATTTCGAGGAATCAATAGACTGGTGGGGCCTGGGCCTACTCCTGGCTCTGTACTCAGGAGGGATCCATGAGTCATAACAGGGTCAGCGACATGCAAGGCCAGTGCCAGGCCCCTGTCCTGCTGAGCTATCTCTCCTTTTTGTTCTTGCTTTTGGGGCCATACCTGATGGTGCTCAGGGCTGACTCCTGGCCTAGTAATCAGGGAGCACCCAAGACCGAACCAGTTTTGGCGACAGGCAAGGCAAGAACCTTCCCTTCTGTACTAACTCCCCGGCTATGAATAGAATTAAAAAAAAAAAAAAAGTAAACAGAATCTCCTTTTTTTTCTAGGTAAGGACTTGAATTCTCTAAGCCCTCCCATCCAAGTATTAACAAGGCCCAGGAACTACAGCGATAGAGCTCGGGCATTTGCCTTGCACACGGTCAACCCAGATTCAATTCCCAGTATCCCGTATCATCCCCCACACTGCCAGGCGTAATTCTTGAGTACAGAGCCAAGAGTAACCCCTGTGTATCGCCGGATGTGACCCAAAGAGAAAGAAAAAAAAAAAAGTAAGAGACTAAAACCATAATAAGCCCCAACACTGCCTGGCTTCTGGGATCAGATGAGACGAGTGTGTTCAGCGTGATATGGCTGGGGATGGGATTCTCTGAAGTCTGGACAGTAGTTACCTGCAACTGTCCCAAACCAGATCTTCGGATATCGAGAAGATGTGAAGAAACTTGCACTGCCAATGACAAGGCGGAGGAAGAGCCACGGAAATGAGTTTCCTAATGTACGCGCCAAATAGCTTGTGATATTATGGTATAAAAGGGTACGCGGCCTTCCTACGAATAAAGGTCAAGACAACAGAAAGACCCATTCATCACGATGAAGGTTTTTTGTCACTGAAAAATGGCTTTTCGGGCCCGGGGGGCCCCAGAGGAGTTGAGAGGGAGGAAAGGCTGGGTGGGGATGGGGAGGGAGCCACACGTGTAAGGCCCAAGGCAGGTGCCTTCTCCCACGTGCCGAGAGGCAGGGGACCCGGAGAGGAGGGGCCGGGCAAACGGTCCTGGGGGACAGCAGGCAGACAGGCTAGACAGATTTCATACTCGATCAGTCTCGAAAAACAAAACACAGGCGTGTGGGCGAGCCTCGGGAGGGCCCATGCGTTAGCGCTGGAGGGATAAATGAAGTGTTTCATCACCGGGGACTTCATAAAGCCCCGGCATTCCAGGAAGATAAATTCCACAAGGCCCATCCCCGGGTGGGGGGCAGCCCGGGAAAGGATTTCTGGCCCACCTGTGGGTCTGCACAGGGAATCAAGTCATCCCGAGCACAACGAGGGAAGAGGGACCTTGGAAATGGGCGTGAGATTAAAACGGAAAGGCACGCGGGGGGGTGGAGGGGGGTGTGTGTGGGGGGGGGGTGTTCCAAGCTTCTCCAAGTAATTCCAACCAAACCTGCACCTACAGGCAAAATCTCTGAAACACACCCTAAAGTCATTGGGAAGAGGATGGCTTTCAAAGGAGAGAGTGACACCCCCATACACACCTTCAAGACAGGCTGAAACTAGGAACTAGGGGGCATGAGTAGCACCAGTTTAAAATGGGCATGACATAGACCTGCGTCAGACCATGTGGCTAGAACAATGGGTGGAAGGTTCTGGAACCCAAGGCATTCTAGTATCTTCAGAACCCCAGACAGAGAGCCTGGCCTGGAGAAATCCCTAAGGGACTGCCTTCAGGCTAAGTGTCTGTCAGTCTGTCTGTCTGAGAGACTCCGTCCTCATCGTTACTCGCTCTCCACTCTGGGCAAAGTCCTGGACTGAGCTGCAAGAGCCCAGTGAACCCCGCCATTAGGACGATGGAGCTAAGATGGGGCATCTCTGCGTTGGCTCGCACTGAGGTTGGGGGGTGGGCGAGTACCTGGCCACGGACACGTAAAGGAGGAGGCTTCTGGTGATGCTGGGACCTCCGGCCATAGCTGTCCAGCCACTGCCCACACTGCCAACTGCGGCCTCTTAGAAAGTCTGTGGGGGGGGGAACACCCTTCAACGGTCAACCGAGCACACTAATAACCACCACTGAAACCTACGTTCAGGGACTCGCTTATCAAAGCAGTCCGAGGCTTCAGATCCTTGAACCAGTGACCGTGCTCTCCTCTGGCTATGAGGTGTCTTACCATGGAGACACTCATTCAGGCCGGCAACGACTCAACGAAAGAGGCACGAATGATCAGAATAGTTCTATTGTTTCCTCTTGAAAACAAAGGACGGGAAGATTAGCGCCAAGGTGCCACAGAAGCTAAGAGTCAGCAGCAGATGCGGAGGAACTGCTATGCGGAGTGGCCCCACTGAGGTCGTGGCGGGCAGAGCCCGAATCCACAGGCGTTGCGGTTACAGAGACGTACCCTCAGCCCAAGGCTCTGGTGGTTCACTTGCCTCCACAGGGGAAAAGGAGAGCTGCCAGAAATGTACAAAGCCGGGGTGAAGAAGGGATCTTGTGAAAATGACAAAGGGGGGGGAAAAAACTCTCAGAGGGCACCTCCTCCTTGCCGAGGCTTTGGTGAGGGACCCACCTGCCCCAACAGCCCCTCCATGGCCCGGAGGGGTGGGCGCACCTCGAATGAAGGCCACCAGGGGGCAGAAATGCCCTGAACTCAGCCAAAGGGTCGCTTACTGGCTTCACACAAGATGCCCCTGGGGTGACTCCGGAAGCAGTGAAATCATTCCCGCTGGAGGCCAATGGCAGACTGTTGGAAAAGGCTTCTGAGAAACGTCCCTTTTTAGGAAAAGATGTGTCGGGAGAAGAACAAGTCCCCCGTCCCAACCCCACCGCCCCCCCCCCCCCCCCCCCCCCCGCCCCGTGACGGCCAACCACCCTGAGAAGATCATACAGCGCTTGCTTGGCTGGGACGAGCAATGAACTCTCTCCAAGGTGGCTCTGCTAAGGCGACAGAAACCTGCCCACAGGGACAGCGCCCTGAGTCCAATTCATTCCGAATGAAACGTGCTGATTCCTCTCCTCCACCTCGCGTACCCCAACTGGGGAGGGGAGAAAATAAGCACTTATACAAACCTTAAAAAAAAATTGCTGGGGCCGTAGCGATAGCACAGCGGGTAGGGCATTTGCCTTGCACGCAGCCAACCCGGGTTCTATTCCCAGCATCCCATATGGTCCCCCGAGCACCACCAGGAGTAATTCCTGAGTGCATGAGCCAGGAGGTACCCCTGTGCATCGCCAGCTGTGACCCAAAAAGCAATACATACATACATACATACATAAATAAATTGCAAGGGGGTTAGAGGGTCATGGGAGGGAGCCTGGGGCCACTGGTGCTGGGAAGTGCACAGTGGTGGAGGGATGGAGGGATGGGCATTGGGATACTGTATGACTAAAATCCAATGATGAGCAGAAGGGTCTAACCCACAGTGATTCAACACAAAAGTTAAAAACAAAAAATGGATCCAAAAAATTCAAAGAGTCATTTCAATTATCAACTGGTAATGTAAACACCCAGAGAAGCGTGTTTTGATTGCGCTGTTCTGGTTCCAAACAGCGATTACCTAACTGCCGGGATCATCTGAGGTTCTGTGTATCTGTGGGTTTTCTGCTAACTCCAAGTGCTATCAAAATAAAAACAGCTGTGCTAACCGCGGAGGAGAACGCATGGCACCCTGCCCGTGTTGTCTGGGGGAGGCCAGGGGGGCTGGAGCCCCCAAACCAGAGCTAACGGAGAACATCCGCACCGCCTGCAGCAGACACTGCGCCCAGGCCCAGGTGTCAACAGCGCACACAAGGCCCCATCAGGTGGACAGGAGCAGCGTCGGTTGAAGATGACCTCCAGGGACACCCCCGGACCCCATACGGCCTTTCCTGGCTTATGTGCTGGGAAGAAGTGCCCACCACAAAGCAGGACTTTAGGAGTCTGAGTTCTAGCCCAAGACGGTGCCTCCTTGGACATGATTTTTTTTAGGGGGGGAGGGTGGCGGACAGACAACCCGCAGTGCTCAGGGCTTACTCCTGCCTCACTGGCTCTGCACTCAGAGATCACTTCTGGTAGGGTTTGGGGGACTATCTGGGGTGCCGGAGGGCCAAGGTTGGCGTGGGCAAGGCAAATGCCTTGCCACTAAGCTACTGCTCTGGCCTCAGAAAATACAGGAGCACCCCGCTGGCCAGAGGGATGCCCTCGAAGCGGGAGCAAGCAGCGCGCTCCTCTGGCCCGCGAGAAAGTCGCCACTGCCCTCTCCCAGGTCTTCCCGGCAGAAAACCTCTCTGGAAGTTCGCGCCTCTCTTGCCCAGACCAGAAGAGGCAAGGAGGGCGGAGGTCACAGCGAAGGTAAAGAGAACCACCAGGAATAATTTCTAAGTGCTGGATCGGGAGTAACCCCTGAGCATCTCCAAGCGTGGCCCCAAAAGTCCAAACAAGTAAATACATAAATAAATAAAAGTGGATCACAAGTGTTTCACAAACTTTTTCACCTCACCCACCTCCCCACCCCACCCCACCCCACCCCTCACCGTGAGCCCCAGCCAGCGGTGCTCAGGGATTCTGCTTGGTTCAACACTCGGGAATCGCTTCTGGCCAGACTCAGGGACCCACAGTGGGTGCCGGGATCAAGCCCAGGTCCCTGTACTGTCTCTCTGGCCCCAGCTTTGCAGACTTCTTAGCTGTCCCCGATCAGAGGTGACCAGGAGCCTCCACTGAATCCCAGTATCTGCAGCAATGAACACAGCCCCCGGGGCCTAACTGTGCTCGAGCTGACCGACCAAGCTCGCTTGTCCCGAGCGGTATGGGTGAGTCTCTGTTCTGAGAGCCCGACCCTCGACAAGCATCCAGATGTCACTCTTAGCAGCTGGTGGCCCCCGCCTCCTCCTTCCTCCTCCCCCTCCTTCAGAGGTCACAGCTCCCCCTGAAGCCTCTCGCTCTCTCCCATGCCCACCCCTTGCCCACCGTGCACCTACCATGCCCATTGTGAACATGTTTGTGGGTTTTTCCTTTCCTGGGGGTTGACTGGCATGAAGATGAAGCATTGTTGGTGGCAGTTTTGACGTCTTCCGTCTCATCATCTTCCTCCTCGACATCCTCCTCATCCTGAGAGCTTCCGAAATAGACCATGCTGTTGGGCAGCGCGGGAGAACCTGCGGGTAGGGGAGAGAGAGGCGTTGTCAGCGCGGCCCTGGGACCATTAATGTTGGACCCTCGACGCCCCTGATGAGAAGAGAGAGCTGGGCGAGTCAGCGCGACTGCTATTATTCATTTACTTTACAAGTATCTCCCCTCCCCTCCCCTCCCTGGAAGCAGAACTCCATCTGTGTGCATGGAACAGATTGTAAGCAAAATCCCCCAGCAGGGGACGATCCCGATCCCCAGATCTCACAAATCAAAACCACTGCAAACCTGACCGGCTCTTGGGCGGGTGCGGGACAGGGCCAGACCACAGAGAATGAACTGAGCGAGGCAGACAAACGAACCAACAAAACCGTCTACCCAGAGTGTCAAGGAAGAAAAGAGGGTTCTGGACTCAACTTCCTAGATGAAAAATGTAAACTTGAGCAAATGGATTTTAAAATAAAGACCATCTGTAAGAAGCTAATGGTGAAACCAGAACAGAACACTTCCTTTGGGAAGCTAAGTGCATTCAAAGGGGAGGGATGGAACTTTGACAAGATCATCAGGTCAACAGCAAACGAATGAAAATAAGTTCTGGCATAATAGTAGCTAAAGGTGTGTTTAGGAGAGTAATAAACCAGACCAACCGGACTTACACAGTGAATAAGGCATTTGCATTGCATGCAGCCAACGCAGGTTGGGTTATCAGCACCAGCTATGGTCCCCCAAGTCTGCCAGGAGTGACCCCTGAGCACTGTCCAGTGTGGCCCAAAAGTCAAACACCAGAAACAATCCCCCATAGGAGAACAAGCATCCCTGAATTCTCTTACAGCTTGACATCCTAACTGCCCCAAATGCTTGCATTTCTGCATTTAAGCTAAGGCAATAATATCATAAATAAATTTAAGAAGGGTGGGCCAAGGGAGGGGGGCAGTCTGTGGAGGGTCTGTTGTCTGAACGGGACACACAGGAAACCCTATCTTGGGTACTAACATACCCAGTGCCTCAAGAAAGATAAACTTCTTATAATAGTTCTTTCCTACTAAACGATGACAGCCCAAAAGGATATTGCCCAACCAACTGGTGCAGTGTATTGGAAGCAGAAAGGGGTGAAACTCAAAGAAAATCCCTTACGATCACTTTCGGCCACCTCAATCTTCCCTCCCCGACCCCCTTTAAGTCTTTTCGGGGAAGTTTTGATCACCTGGCGTGAGGGTGGTCACCTCTTCTTCTTGTCCACTTTCCTGCAAATGAACGAACTCTAACCTCATCAATGGACACTAAAGCCCTAATCGTCTCTCCTTCCCCAAAGGAGATTTCAGACACCCGAAAAGGACAGTTACAACCTTCTCCACTGGGGACCTGCAGGGGCAAACAAAGCCCTCCCCCCGCCCTCCACTTCCCAGAAAGTCAAGACTGGCCCCTCGATGTCTGGTGGTGCAGACAGCATGGCGTGAGATTCCAAAGGGGAAATGGCCCCAGAGACTTTCAGAGAATGGAGAGAGTCTGGCAAAACTCATTTTCTTCGAGTTTTGGGTCACGTTCAAACAGGTTCTCAACAGAAAGCTCGTAAGGCGGACGGTCTTAACACAAAAAGCATTGTATTTGACAAAGCCATCGGAGTTACTATGTAAATATGTAACTTATAGGATAAAGTCAGTATGCTATTATATATAATAGCAGCGGTAGGGCTTTTGCCTTGCGTGCAGCCAGCCCGACAGAGCCGGGTTCGATTCCTGCATCCCTCTCAGAGAGCCAGGCAAGCTACCGAAGAGTATCTTGCCCGCACAGTAAAACCTGGCAAGCTCCCTGTGACATATTTGATATGCCAAACACAGTAACAACAAACAAGTCTCACAATGGAGATGTTACTGGTGCTCACTTGAGCAAATCAATGAATAACGGGGGGGAGGGGGGGGCAGGGACATATTATTATAATATTATGGATCATATATTTTTTGCTCAAATTTATCATCTCCCAACTAAAATCCATCTTGCTTCCCAAGCAACCATCCCAACCCCCCATAAGAAAGAGTGGACAGGGGACTGGAGCGATAGCACAGCAGGTACGGCGTTTGCCTTGCACGCGGCCAACCCGGGTTCGATTCCCAGCATCCCCTATGGTCCCCTGAGCTCCGCCAGGAGTAATTCCTGAGTGCAGAGCCAGGAGTAACCCCTGTGCATCGTGCCAGGTGTGACCCAAAAACCAAAACAAAAAAAGAGTGAACAGTTTTTTTGGAGAAGGTCATCCAATCAAATTAAGAGATAAAGGTTGGTTGTTTTCTATTTTGTTGAGGAGCCCCACTGGGCTGTGATCAGTGCTCCCTCTTTGCAGGGGCTGGGCCAATCACCTTGCCCACTGTACTCAATCTCTCCAGCACCGTGTGTTTTGGCTTTAAAAGGGGCGTAAATACCTAGCCCCATTTTCTAAGTGGCTGTCCCAGGAGTACGGGCTGCTGATGAGAAAATGTCAGTCGGGCTTGGGATGGGGACACAGGCAGCGCCAATCCCCGGGTGCCCCCTCGCAAGAACTCACAAAAGAACGGGAGGAACTTAATCTCAGCACTCAAAACCACTTCTGGGTGGCTGTTTTTTTTTTAAGTGATTCTGTCCTCAGCTGGAAGTGAGTCAAGCTCGCGCCAGGCCACAAGAAGGCACAGAGTGTCCTGGGGCATGGAGCGCCCTGGGGGATAGGGTCGGACAGGCTGACGTGGACATCTGGGTCTCCTGGGACTCGATGGTCATAGTTCCCTGCTTGGTAACATGAGAGGAAAGGGCTTAAGTGATCAAGTTCCTTCCATCACCAATTATCCAATTTCTTCACAAAAAGATGAGCTGGGGTTCCACAGTGGCGTAACAGGCTCTGGGTTCGGCTGGTTTGGGCCAGGAATCCAAAAGGTAAAACTAGCACAACAAAACCGAGCCTACAAGTAGGGCTTCTATGGAAATATTTAGCTCATGGGGCCGCTGGGCTTGGCTCTAAGAAAGATACTGGCCAGTGGCTGAAAGCAGATCCTTAATCAGTGTGCAGGAACACAGGAAATTTTTGTCTAAATCCTGCAGTGATCTGCAGCACTGCCATCAGTCTACCTATGTACGTACGTACACACACACACACACACACACACACACACGAGAGAGAGAGAGAGAGAGAGAGAGAGAGAGAGAGAGAGAGAGAGGAAGTGGCTGTAAGGAAGAGGAAGATTAGAAAATGTTTCTCAGAAAGCAAATTTGCAAGGCTGGAGCAATAGTACAGCAGGGAGGGTGTGTAGCTTACATGCAGCTTACCTGGGTTCAAACCCTGGCACCACATTCCTGAGCTCAGAGCCAGAAGTAGGGCCAGATCAACACAGAGTACAGAGTATGGTCCAATGCTTCCCCCCACCCCCATGGCAAAAGAAAAAGAAAAAGAAAAAAAAGGTGTGTGTGTTGTGGTGGTAAAGGGGGGGGAGGGGGCGCAGGCTTACCCTTCTTAGTCTTCAACTCCAAAAATAAATCGAGTTGGGGCTAATGTTTAAATAATGGGGCAAAGTAAAGCAAATCTAAAGTTTCTTTTCATAGAGAATCAGAAAAAATCCACACAAGCCACAAGAGAAATAAATAAGGAATTAATTGCCACTTAGAAATCGGTTCGGGGAGGGGGAGGGGGACTAAAAAAAAAAAAAACTCAAGGTGCAGGTAAGTTACAATGATCATGTTCCTTACCCTTAGGACTTTGAAATTCTGAGACGCATGAACACTGATTATGTACCAAGAAGATAAAAAAGGAGAAAACACACAGCTCAGCTCCGCATCTAAGGTTTGTGACTAACCCACAAATAAAGCAAGCACACTTGTGTACACACACACACACACACACACACACACACACACACACACACACGAGCACATGCAAGAGAGAAGTTTTTTTGTTGTTTTTTTTTTTTTGGCTTTTTGGGTCACTCCTGGCTCTGCACTCAGGAATCATCCTTGGTGGTGCTCAGGGGACCATATGGGATGCTGGGAATTAAACCCGGGTCAGCCTCGTGCAAGGCAAAAGCCCTACCCGCTGTGCTATCACTCCAGCCCCTACATATTTACTTTTAATCGAGATGATGTTAGCTTACATAACTGCATGTGACTTCGGGGTACAACTTCCTGCCCCTTTATAATAGGGGATACCAGACCACAACCATCACCAGAGGATCAATAACCCCCGACCACTGGGATTCCTTCCCGTCTGGATTCCCTTGAAGGCCATGCTATTTCCCAGTGGGACAAACGCCCCACATGCCTCAGTATGACATGACCGCATGGGCGCCCCATGACCAAACGGATGCTGCATCCACAGAGACGAAGGTTCTGGTATTTGGAAAAAGAGAAGACTGTGTTTGTAAACAATGCATGAGCAACTGTACGTGAGAGACAGATTCTGGTAAGCAAAGAGCTAAGTTAGAGACACAGAGAAGTGACTCAGGACACGTCGTCTTTCCTCCCAAGTCATCTTTCCTCCCAACGTTGGGGGCGGGGGAAGCTCAGCACGCAGCCAGCATTTGGACCAGGACAATGCACGCACAGACACCAAACAAGCAACAGCCTGAGCGTGGGATGGGGCCGGGCCGCTGAAGAGGAAATTCCAGCCAGGCCCCCTGCGGCCCCAGGGCGCAACCACCTCCTGAGGCCAGACCCCACCAAGATGGAAAAAATGAAGACGAGGTTCACTAAAGTCCTCATGCTTTTAGTATTTTTTTCCCCTTTTTGGGTCATACCCAGCGATGCTCAGGGGTTACTCCTGGCTCTGCACTCCGGAATTACTCCTGGAGGTTCTCGGGGGACCATATGGGATGCTGGGAATCAAACCCGGCCGGGTCAGCCGCGTGCAAGGCAAATGCCTTACCCACTGTGCTATGGCTCCAGCCCCGCTTTTAGTGTTTGAGGCTGGTTTAGTTTGTTTGGTTTTGGGTGCCAGGGACAAAAACCTGGTGCCGCCGTGGAAGCAGGAAGCAGGTGCTGTACCCGAGTTAAGGCCTTAAGGCCGGAGGTGGCAGGA